TCTACTTTACTGATGTGACTTCATCATAACTGAATTGACACTTCTTTTTAATCGAAGCAACACTGCTGGGCAATAAGTACTGTAGGAGGCATGTACTGCAAAGTCTGTTCTGGACCCTTAATGTTCCAAATATGAAATATAACTTACAGACTGAAGAGTGTAAACTGAGCTCAGTCTTAAAGCAGTATTGTAAACAACAGTGGGGTTACCTTTTGTTCTCTAAAGCATTTCTGCCCACTGGTTTTGTAAAGACACCAATAAAGGCTGTGAAGCCAAAACAAACTGTAAACTTGCAAGTCCTAAGTTCAAAGAAACCAATATGCAGTGTGCTGTAAAACCAGGCTACCTCTGACCTTTCCCATTCTGTACACGGACTTACTTAAATTAATGTAATTATGACTGTTATTGGACTTTTTACACTTTACCCAAATCACGTATTATCTAAAAAATGGAGTGTAAAATATAATTTTCACCAAGGTTTATGTCTTTCAACCTAAGTTGTAACCAAGACTTAAAAGGCTTACATTTTGTATCATTGAAATACTATTTTTGGATATGCTCCAGTTTCATTTGTTGGGATTTCTATTCAGAGAGTAATAGACTTCACAGAAACATTTACTGCACCAATGCCACACTTAAGAACCTGAGCTCAGTCCTCAGGAAACCCTCCCTTCATTCCTTGGAATGATGTTAACTGTTGAGATACTCAGGTACAGAGCCCTCTAGCAAACATAAGCCGTCCCTGGCTTGCTCTCTGTGGGAGGTAGCAAGGCCATGAGCATGGAGCGACCCCCGCTGACTCCCTAATCAAAAAAGAGTCGAGGTTCTGACGGGTTCTACTAGCCACCTGGACCCCTGCTCGTCTGTGCCTCTGTTTCTGCTTTCCCATGGCTGTGTGAGAGGGCATGAATTATTAACCCGGCTAAAATAAAAAGCTCTGCTTCATCCCAGCCTCCTGTAGGCATGAATAATGGAAGAGGCAGCTCAACTACAGGCGTTTGGTGAGTCAAACAGTGGACCGTGATGGATGGCTAAGGGCCTACTGTGTCCCCCCTCCTCACCTACCATCCACTTCAGGTCCACCACACCCTCAAACCCAAAACACACTTCCAGATAACCTCTATTAATCTCCAGAAGTGCTCCAGCTTGAGCCCTCCTGGCTCCTTCAGCATATCCCACTCGACAATTTTGCTTCCTGGGGGAATATTTGTTCGTTGCTTGTTTGTCTTTCTCCTGCCATTGCTTGCCTTTGTTTTGCTTCTCTCTTGCACTTTGGAAGTCAAATGCAAGCCTATTCGAAGGCAGGCTGTGATTCAAGCCTCCTCTCACTTAACCCTAATGCAGAAACCTTGAGGATGAGATGGCAACATGGTATACGAATCTGATCAGTCATGCGAAACATTTCGTTCATCAGAGGCTGCAGTTTCCATCTTGTATCAGTGACCTCAGTGGTGTACAATCACATTGTCTGTTACAAATACGATAATTGTTTTTTGCTTACAAAGTAGTCAACTACCAACTGACAGTGCAGACTCTCATGATAATTGTATTTCTATATTTATTCTAGTCATATAAAAGATTATATCTGACTTTCAGCCTGTAATGATTTAATTGCTTTGAGTGTGAAATTATGCATGCAGAAAAAAGACAAATGTCTTATTGCATATATTAATGAAGCACAAAATGAATATCCAGTAATCATTTTGACACTAAATATTTTGCAGGCTGGCTGTCTTAAAACAAGCTCAACTGTCAACTTGTGATTAAAACCCTGAGCTCATTTCATGATTTAATAATTGTAATTCATCACAAGTGCTATTTAGATATGTCAGATTATCTCTTAAATCCCCCAAAAATTACATTCTGACAGAAAAAGTTTAAAGAAACCAGTTGTGACTAATGTTACAACAATTGGCTCTGATTAAATAAGCATTCCTTTTGAATGTTGCTTAACAGGAGCTAAATATAAAATAAACTAAAGCCATAATAAAATATACAGCATATGCTATATTTATCTCAGGTCATCTCCAAAGTTGTTTAAGAACATGGTGAAGGTTTGGCAGTATCTCTATTTATATGCATTGTTATGATGTAGCTCAGGGAGCATATCTCTATATCGGTCCAATAACATACCTATCATCAGTATATGAATGTGTGATATTCTTCATTTCTTCATTTCACATCTACTATAATGTGTTCTGCATATGTATACACTAATGGAAAACTTTATTAGGTACACCTGTTCAACTCCTTCTTAACACAAATAACTATTCAGTCAATCACATGTAGACATGGTGAAGATGACCTGCTGACATCTTGATGGGAAGAAAAGTGGGACCTTTCTTCCCACTTTTGACTCAAACCAAGCATCAAAAGTACAAAGAAAGTTCATTTAAATGACTTTGAATGTGACATGGTTTTTGGTGTGAGACAGGCTGTCCTGAGTAATTCAGAAACTGGTGATCTACTGAGATTTTCCTGTACGACCATCACTGGAATTTAGAGTGAATGGTGCAAAAACTAGTAGTAGAACAAATCTCTGAATGTACAACAGCATTGAACCTTGAAGTATGTGGCCTCCATTAGCAGCAGAAGACCACATTAATGTTACTCCTGTCAGCTAGGCTACAATTCACACAGAATCACTTAAATTGGACATCTGATATTTAATAATTCTTCTTCTTTATCATTTTCTGCTGAAAAATTCACATGTTAGTACCCATCATTGGATGGCTGCTTCCAAGAGGATTAATATACCTGTCACAAACCTCAAATCATCTCTAACTGGTTTCTGGAAAGTAACTGCACTCAAATGGCTTCCACAATCTTGATCTCAGTCAGCAATGTGCAGCTGACAAATATGCAGCAACCGTATGATGCTGTTATGCTGATATAGACCAAAATCTCTGAGGAATGTTTCCAGCACCTTGTTAAATCTATGCCACAAAGGCAATAGAGGATCCAGACTGATACCAGCAACGTGTACCTTATAAAATATCCAGTCAGTGTACAATACCATGCATTTTTATTGCCTTCTTTACTTGGAACCAAGCGTTTTCCAGAAAGCCTGATTGAGCTTTTCAGTCCAAAACAGTTTTAAACTGGCACCTTTCACTCCATGGCTGACGCAGTTGGATCATATATTACCGTAATTGTCGGGCTATAAGCCGCTACTTTTTGCACAAGCTTTGAACCCTGCGGCTTTTAGTCAGGTGCTGCTTTTCTATGGATTGTCCATGATTTTTGTGGTATCGTAAGACGATTTGTTTTGTTTGTTCCGCTGTTGTACGGCACTACGTTGCCTGATCGGGGTTCAAGAGTGGTATGTTGGTCACATGTCCGTCCGCCAGGCAACGTAGTGCCGTACGAAGTAGTGCGAAAAACAAACTTCAAAGTAGCGCTACGCGTTCAGCGGGAGGCGTGGATGATGAGCGGCGATAAACTTGCGAAAAGCAAGTTATGCCCAACTCCACCAGTGGATTCTGACAGCGTGGAAAAGTGTGAAAACATCCACGATCACCAACGGATTTCGAAGGGCTGGACTGCTGCATGATGGAGAGGAGGACACCGCCACGGCCCTTCTGAGGGTGTTTGACTCTGACACTGACAACGAGGATTTCTTTGGTTTTGAAAGTGACAACGAAGGAGAGAAGCGGAGAGTGGATGATGTAGCCATCCGGAGCCTGTTCGTTTCCGACACTGGAGAAGACGACTTTGGTGGTTTTAGTGCGCAGGAAGATGGTGGTGAATGACTGACTTTTCTTCTTGTTAAAGCCATGTCACTGCACCTGAGCCTAAAAGGTAGTCCGAATCTATTTTTCTGGTGTGCTGTAGGTTATTGTTATGTACTACATTTGTTACTCATTTATGAAGCACAGTACATGTTTCATACTTGTAATTACCGCTACTTGTACATATACCTAAAAAGTTATGCAAATATGTACCCATAACTTGTTTTTCAAAATACTAATAAAAGTGATGTGTCTCCAAACAGCCATCTCTTTCCTGACAATTCCCTTTGTGCATATTCTCTTACATATGATAAGTCAACAGTAAATACGGTAAACGCATTTAGCCTGTCAGCTCCCTACAAAGTTTCAATGATTGTGCCAAGGTGGGAAAAGAGGATGTAATTGTCTGGTGTATTTAACAACACTTGAGCGATCATCCCGTGTCCTGCCTCCTGCAGCTCAAGCCAGGCAGTTTGTTCACATAAACCAACCGAATTTTTCTAACATAATCTAGAATTTGGATGATTGAACACAGTCAGAAATTGTCCAAACTACCTACTTTAGCCTATTGTACGTTAAGTTCTATTGCTACTATTTTGCTAATATAACAAAACTAGATTTGTTTTCTGGCTAGCTATACCAATCTTCATTTTACACATTCCTTGGTATTTTGTGGATAAAATTGCTTTTGAGTTCAGTTGTGCCAAAATAAACTGAGGGTTGAGGCCAGAATTCTTTGGCTTTAATTGTATTGCATGGAAGAGTACATTTCAGCAGCAGCTTCCCTTTACATCCTGGTCTGCCCCAGAGCCTGCTGCATTGCCGAATACCTCATCTAAATGCTGCAACCAAATTAGTAGCTTAAGTAAAATACAATAAACTGACTGTAGTTAGACAACAAAATAGGTCTAAAAGTAAATAGATTGCTGAACTTAACTCACCCCCTTCCAGTGCAGAAGCTGATCGCTTCAAGATACACTTCACTGATTCTCCCCTGTGAGTCACATCTTCCTCTCCTGCTGCCTTCTACTCTGCCTACTCTGATCTCATTCATCTGAAGTTAATGAAAAAAAAAACTTTCAGCGCTTTCTTAGGTTTTCTTCCTTTTCTTTCACCTCGCACCTCCCCGTTATTTTAGGGTCACATTTTCTTACAGCTTTTATTCTAGGCTGTGACTTTGTTATCACTGTGTCATTGTGTTGATTTTAGCAATTTAATGAATGAAGGCGCAAACCCACTTTTTACTTTCAAACACAGAACTCAACACACCTTAGTTGTCTTAACTTTGTTTCCTGTACTGCAGCTCCATCCTTTGAGATCAGGCAGCACTTTACACTCTTCTCCATCCATGCAGGGATGCATCTGGCACCACCACTTCTGTGCAACTATGGATGCTGGGAGTAAAATAAAAGTGGAAATAAAGGAAAAGAGAAAAACAGCAGAGTAAACAATTAGCACCATGCTGTTTAAATATGTAGCGTTCTTCTGCTCTGACTGAAGTAACAGCAAGTGCCTTTGACTTCTATACACAGCACAGTGATTAACGAGAGCACTTTGATCTCTAGCTGGTGGTGGAGACCTGTCAGTCCTGCTCCAGAGTGTTTTCGGGCCTGAATTACAGGGCATGGGTCAATGTCAAGCCAGTGAGAGTAGTGAGCAGGTGTGTTAAGGTGTGTGGAGGATGAATGTTTGTATGTAGGAGGAGAACAAAAGCGTGCAGCAAGCTTATGCGTCAAGATTTTTTGTTGCTTCAAGGAGGCCTATAGGGCAGAAACAGCTTTCCCTGACATTTCTAAAGTGAAGGGAGAACTGTCAAAATATGGAAGCCTTGTCAGAGATATTACAGTGAAAAGAGGAGATAGGGATCGATTCACCTGTAACTGAGGCCACTTTTGACATAATTTTAAATGACCTGGCCTTCTGTCTATTCCACTGAACATGTCTGATATAAAGCAGACAAACAGCTGAGCGAATGAACTGATAAGTGAATTGATTTGAAGATTATGAAGCCTTTGGGTTATACAACAGCAATCTCAACATTGTATTTTTTGCTTCACGAGAAACTCCTTGTGCCAAACGATCAGTGAAATAAGCACCAGAGGCACAGTGACAGGTGTGACAGGTTTACACCGTGCCACATTTCTACCCTAATCAGAATTTGGTCTCAAATCATCACCAAAACTGTAATGAGAAGCTTGGCATACCGTCTACACAAGATGGAGCTGCTCTTGTTGTTCCTGCCACCTGTCCAGGGAAGCAGGAGCATTTGACAGTCTGGGATCGCTCTTCGATCTTGTTCTTGTTGCAGCATCGATGTGCAGCAATTACCTCACAGGTTCCTGCTTTCACATGAACTGGAAACACAAATATACACAGTGGTTAGAATATATGAGACGGCCTTTTTCAAACTGAAATATCTCTCACCACAACAACAAAGCTACAAATACCAAGACTCTAAATGGGTAGTTTGTATAGAGTGTTTGTATTTTTTAATATAAGAGTGTTTTCTTTTTCTTATAATGCGTGGTATGTCTTGATGCATTCTCAATCATCCAGGTAAGTAAATCTCCAAAAGCTGATTCTGTTCATCTGGACGTATATTTTTTGGATCCACTGAAAATCACATTAAATCGTTTAAAGGAGCATTGCGTTAGGAGATCTATTTAGCCAGTACTTTGGTCAAGCTCACAAGAGGAGGAGCGCATGTTGTGATTGTGGGAGAAGCTGGAGCTCGCATAGAAAATAACTGCAAGCAGAAGGGTACAAACTCAGGGCCGTCTTGCATGGAACCAAAACTTTCAACCACTGAACCTCTATTCCCTCTCTGAACGTCCAAACTTGTTTTTGATATTCTGCCCCATTCCCATGTGGTTGCACTAAAAATGTAATTCTTTGCAAAGGTTACTTTCTAATACAGATTATCTAATTGTCCTTACCTTTCTTGTATCATTTAGGGAAATTAATCATACAGAAGACTCCAGTGCAGTTGATGGGAATCATTTTAAATATCCAATTTTGACTAATTACAGTCAGCAGTGGGCTTGGCTAAAATAAATTAAAGTGCCCATTGTTATGGTGATGGATGAACATAGTAAATAGTGCAGCACATTTCCAGCATTTGTGGTACACTAAACTAACCAGTTACGGGTGGTACTCTCATATTACTGTACAGATATGTAAGTTTTATCAGTTTTGCAAGAGAGCAAAGAAATTTAAAGATGCCCAAAAGCTAACAAAATGAATAAAAACAAGGTACACAGGCATCTTTTGGTAATATGGCGTCAACTACCCAGCTATTAAAGTATAGTACAGCTCAAAAAAACTTTTTTTTTAAAATTCAGAAAGTTCAAATTTCATAGATTCTTTATTGGTTACCTCTAAATTAAAACATTTCAAGTCCTTTTTGCTTTACTTTTGATGTTCATGGCTTATAGCTCATGTAAATGAGAAATCCAGTATCCTAAATTTTTAGAATAGCTCCAATGATCAGTTTGAAGGATTTACAATACAGAACATTTCCAATGAAATCCAATATTTAATCTAAAAAGAGAACATTGGTCCAAAAAGGCATCTGGCACTGTTCTTTTTCAACTTAGTTCAGATAAGCAATGTTGTCTCTAGCTCAGGAGTGGGTTGACGTTAGCTCTGACAGTTGCAGCCTCTTTCCTGAGGATATCTGCTTGCAGTGGCTCTTGATGGTCTGACACCAGCTTCTGTCGTTTGTGCAACTTTTCCTACCACACTTTTCAACTTTTTATCAATATGCTTCAATACAGCAGCCGCACAGCCAGCTTCTCCAGCCATGACCTTCTGTGGCTTACCCTCTCTGTGGAGTGTTTTGATGATCGTTATTCAGATAACAGTGAAGTCAACAGTCTTCCCTATGATTGTGGTTACATTCATTGAACTAGATGGAGACAGCTATATTGTTTGAATAGTGATTTACTCAAGTTCAAAATGGCATATTCTAATAATTGAACAAATATTTGATTTTCAAGCGTTACAAGCAACAATTCTGGATTACTTGGATTACATGGATTAGTAATATGAAAATCCACTGTACAGTTCTTTCCAACAAAACAAGTGTTCTGCAGAGCTCAAGAGAAAGTAGTCATCCAGTATGAAAGATAGTATAAAGCATAGTGCTGAGAAAAGGTGCAAGAGAGACTGTTGTTAATGTTTTGTCAGGACACGAGTTTTGCCCCATAGAAGACTGAAAAACATTTCCCTTTGTGCTTTCATGCCTATATTATTATAAGGAGAGTCCCACTAGTACCAATTATCTGTTATAGTGAAATCTTATTTGAAACACCAAAACACCATAGCTACTTATATCCAGGTCATACCCCAGGTGGAGGAGCCTGACTTTGAACTCCATGTAGCTCCACTGGTCCACATACCATATCCTTGAGCGGCATACACAATGCAGCTCACCCATAGTTGCAACCAGAGGACAAAAGTAACACCTTCGATTAGGGTAAGCCTAATCTAACTGATAATATAACATCAACAAAAGACATAGTTTTAAATTATTTGGCAAAATAATGGCAATACAATGCAATACCAGTTACAAGGACATTGTTTTTACTGTCATTAGCTTTGATGAAACATCAATACTGCTCTTTACATTATATTCATTACTTTTCTGGATAGACCCATCTCAATGCTGTGCATGTTTGTGTTTTGGTACCTAACAAACACTGCTGCATAGGTAAAATAAATAAATAAAAACAGCATCTGAAAAGTTCTGACAATACTATCAGATAAGCCTTAATTATGTCTGTAAAGATTTTCCAATTTGGGCCTCTTCTTGAAAATAAATTGCAGCGAGCTTCCACCTTCCCATTAGCTAGCAATCCTGAAATCTCATCTACAACATTAAAAACATTTTGCTTCCAATCAATAAGGTGCTATTCACATTCCCACAAAAGCCAAGACAACAATTGACGATTAAGTGCTTTTCAGTGAGCAGAAACTTACTGATGCAAAAACAGGTCAGGCTGCATGCCCTTGATGTGATTATCTTTAAGCCACCAGCACGCCCCCGGTCAAAGTTAATTTCAAAAGTTGGAATAGCTTTGTCAGAATATTCAAACTTTGTTAAGAGATAGATGCACACGGACAATAGGTGATCCCTAGAGGGGCAATGGGGGAAGATAGTCATTGTAAATTACCTTATTGTGAGGGAAAACAAATAGAGCATTAACTGATTAGTCATTACACCTTTTATATAATGGATATAATGGATTAATAACGGCTTACATCAAAACAATATAATTGCATCAACTCAAAGATAAGGCTAGATATCACATTCAAACCCTGTCTGAACTCTGATGTGCTTCATTTATATAGTTGTTTTTTTTTCTGTATACATCTCCACGCTACCATTTTTCTCTAGGTAAAAGTCTCAGTGTGATTAAAGAAAATGTTTGTTTCTTTCCCTGAATGACCTGGCCAAGAGGGCAACAGACATCACAGCAATTATTAAAAGTCACAGTCTACAAGAGTTAACACAATATGCAGATTGCATAAAATAAATATCAAGGTCAAAACAGGTTCAGTGCAACTTGAAGAGCAACTACAAGAATCCAGTCTTTTATAACTGACTTATTATTTTGTAAAGTGGGGCAGCATAACAAAGCAAATATTGTCGTTTTGTTGTTTATTCTATACATAAAAATTTGTAAACTATTATGAGAGAAAGTGACTTTGGTTTTTACATATTTTATATTTTAACAGATAGTAAGGAACCAGTCCAGGGGCAGATTTGTATATAAAATTTTATGTATAAAACCAGATTGATATATGACTAAGTGGGAATTGGGATGGACACCTGGCTAGCTTAGCTATTAATATTACTAAACATGCAATGGTAATTAGTATCCAATTTCCTTAGGTGCTGGTCAAGCACATTCATAAAGAGGCAATCACCCTGATGTAAAAAGAAACAAAGCAAGTGAGAGCTACAGCATAGGCTACAAGTGAGAATGGGACTGTAGACTCGTTAAGGAAACAGAAAGCGGCTAGTTTGGACACCCCATCTGAAGACAACCACTGATTAAAACTGGAGCTGCTGACCAAGGTCGCTGACTGTGAGGCTCGTTCTAAAAACCCCATGCAGTGTGGAAGGGGTGAGCGGTCAGAGAGCAGGCCATAGGGGTCAGCTGAGTAAGAAACAACAATGTGTGATTACTATGGCTTCTACATAGTGAGCATGGAGTCCTGGGAAATAATGATACCAGAGAAAGAGTTTTTCAAAAACTGGAAAACTAGAGACAAACTTGGAGTTAAAACCTTTAAGACTTCGGGTGAAAATTTAGGTTGACTGACCTAAATGGACTAAACTCTTTTTGCAATAGCCAAGTACTGATAGGACATAGGTCTCAAGGTAAGGCCGAATTCAGACTGCTTACATGAAACACAAATGTTTCACATGAAGATTACATTTTGTTTTGTTTTTTTACCGTAAAACAGCAGAATGAAAGACATAAAATGCAATGTATACATGCAGAAAATAGGTTGCCTGTTATCTTTTCTGTGTGAAAATATCCATGTAGCCACATAAATGGCTCGCAAGCCCTGTGATCAATACATTTCTATTAAAGCACTTAGGACTACCATCGGTTTAAATCAGCAGGCACAAACATTAGCAGCAGGGAAAACTGAGAGACAAACCGAGGTGAAAGGACAGAGACCACTAATGAGAGCTGGCACAAGGCCCAACCCTTCAGCCAGTCAATACCACTCTAATCTCCTCTGCAATGATATTCATCGAAACCTGATTGATTAATGCCAAAATTCAACCAGAACCTGCACAAAAGTATGGAGGAAACAATTTACTGCAATTGCTGAACAATTACATATGACATTTAAATAATTGTGAATTATTAGTACAACAAATATAAAGCTTTTCTAGCTTGCTAGGTTGTGTTCCAGCAACATCATTAGGATTAGCAATGGGTCATAAAACATGAAACTTAAACCAATGTATAGTCACTCTTGAGATAATGATGATTATTTGGTTATTTGTCAGCTGAATTTGTTTATTTTTATGAACACATTGTATAGTCTGATGACTAAAATCCCTTATGTCAGTGCGAGTTAGCATCAGCTACGCTATATTGTATTGGTAAATATGGTGGCAAGGAGAAAACCTAGCTCTGTGGCCTCATTTAGACGGTAAAGATCATTCAGTGTTTTAAGTGATGTTTATTTCAGATGAAAGCCGGGTGACTGAATGTATCTCATCAGTTAATGGTATTAAGCTGACATAGCTTTTACTTTAATAATGTCATCTTACAAAACTATTATTTGGACTGTAAGTAACACAATTGACAAACTCAGTCAGAATGAA